CTGAAAGCTCAAGATGGCACTTGATTCTTCATTTTAATTTGGTCTTTATTCGGCACTGGTTTTTCCACTGAATGTGATGGAATTCACATCTTCTCTTGCGAATAAACGAATGCTTTTAATATATACATGATTTGGGTCCAGGTTACCTACTTATTGGCCTTCTCCTGTACAATCTGTCCCGAACAATGAGGCTCTCTGGGGGATGTCTACTCCAACCAGCCAGAACCGAACTGGTGACCGTCAACCAGGGGACCTTTTCATTGGCCACCCCAAGACTCTGGAACGACCTGCCAGAAGAGCTCCAACAACTAAATGAGCTTGGGAATTTAAAACACACCTGAAGACATAACTCTTCTGGCAGCCCTACTCAGCCAGTTTTAATCTGGAGTTCACTATATTTTAATCTTTGTTGTCTGTATTTTATTATACGTGTTTGTAGAAAAAAACAACCTTTTACTATGTGTTTTTTATATAATGTTTATGATGATTGTGTGTTTTAGCTATGCTGTAACCTTGAACCACAAGGAGAGGTATGTAAGAAATAAAATTATTATCATTATTACATATGTATCATGAAGGAGATGAATGTGCTAAGTAACCTTGTGAATTTTGCAAGATTTGTACTTCTACGGTTTGAAAATAAATGGCAACATAACAATTATCACTGCTTAGTGTGCTTTTATGAAGCAGAATTTAGAGCTCACTTCTCAGAGTCTTTTCTATTGCTGAATGAATATCAGATCTTTTTTTTTTGTCCTACACTATAAAATATGAGTAACCAGTATCTCAATCACTGGGAGAGTGGAGACCCCGGTGGCACAATGGATTAAATCCTTGTGCCAGCAGGACTGAAGACTGACAGGTTGGAGGTTCGAATCTGGAGAGAGTGTAGATGAGCTCCCTCTGTTAGCTCCAGCTCTCCATGCGGGGACATGAGAGAAGCCTCCCACAAGGATAGTAAAATATCAAAACATCCGGGTATCTCCTGGGCAACGTCCTTGCAGACGGCCAATTCTCTCACACTAGAAGCAACTTGCAGTTACTCAAGTTGTTCCTGACACACACAAAAAAAAAAAACCTGGGAGATTTGCCTAGATTTGGAATTTGGGGTGTTTGGAAACCTAACTACATCAGTGGAGCACCAAGACTCAGCTAAATTATGTTTTGAGAATGTGGAGTCTCTTCCCATCTATAAGGTTGAGAACTAAAGTAACTATTCTTTTTAACTGAGAGAACACCTCTCTAGAAATTTCAAGGTTTTCAAGCACAAATCTATGGTCAACTTCTATTGTAATTGTAATGGAGAATCTAGAGATTTCAAGAGAGATGCTCTTTCTAGGAATTTCTAGGGCTTCCAGGATAGATCTATGACCCAATTCCAATGGACCATAGAGTTGCACTGGTGAACTTAAAGATGCCAAGAGATAAGATGTAAAACAATTTTGTGAATAATCACATCCACAAAAGCCAAAGTTGCAAATGTGGAGGGGTGCACCGTGTAGCCATTCAAGGTCTCATGAAAGTCCAATGTATCCCACCACTCAGGCGAAATGATCCATTAATGTGTTCACTGAGCTTGTAAGGAACGGAAGGAGATCTCTGTGTATATGAACTCCTTTTTTTTTTACTTCCAGAGAAGGAGACTCCACCACAGTCCAGAATAGCTCTTACCATCAGGAGCTATATATTTTCCTGCAATTTGAATCCATGGCTTCATGTCCCATCACCTCATCATTCATGGCTTCATGTCCCATCACCTCGTCATACAAGCGGGTTTTGGCCCCTTGCTGCTCCTCCTGCCGATTGCCATCACATGACGCAGAGTGTGGCCCTGCCCCATGATGACCGAAATGGTGAGGAAGCATCACAAGATGCTTTCTCACCAACGACAGTAAGGCAATAGACTTTTGGCTAGCTGTGACAGAGCTACCCACTGCTTTTGGCCTCCTCTCCCCCCACCCTCCCACATCTGATGGGGGAGATGGCAACATGGCAACATACATTGCCACAGTTTCCCTATCTGATGGGGAAAGGAACAGGGTGCCAACACACCCTGTCCTGATGCCCCCATGTGATGGAGGAAATAGGGAGGATGTGTGGGTTGCCATGAGGCGCCATGCGTGCCTTCCATTTCACCAGTGATTGCCACATTCTCACACTGACACTTCACCCATCACACATGGGAGGATCCGTGCTAATTCCACTGGAGCCAGCACAACATGAGCAGGCTCACGTGCTGAGTGGGAAGCGTTGTGAGACGCTTCCACTCCACTTGTGGGTGGGACTTCCAGCAGAAGTCTAGCAATGTCATGGGATGGGCAGTGTGCCCATTCATTACACAACTGGTGGGGATGCATCCTAGGATGTTAAAAAGCCCTGTCTGTTGTGGTGGCTAGTTGACCACAAGCTGAACATGAATCAGCAGAGTGATCCTGCAGCTAAAAAACCAAATGCTGTTCTAGGCTGTATTAGTAGGACACGAATGTCTAGATCAATAAAAACAAGAGTACCACACTATTCTGCCTTGATCAGACACCAACTAGAATATTGTGTTCAGCTGACAAGCTGCAATGTAGAGGAGGGTGACTAAAATGATCAAAGGTCTGGAAGTCCTAGATTAGAATGTTTGGAGAAGAGGTAGCATGATAGTATTGTTTACATATTGGAAAGGATGTCTTATGGAAAATGGAACAGTCTTGTTAACTGTTGCGCTTGAGCCGAAGTCCTCAAACTTTTTAAACAGAGAATCAGTTCACAGTTCCTCAGACTTCTTTTTTTTTTTTGGAGGGGGGGGGAGTGGCAGGATTAAAGTTTGTTGTTGTGTGCCTTCACATCATTTCAGACTTTGGGCAGCCCTAAGGCAACCCTCTCATAGAGTTTTCTTGTCAAGATTTATTCAAAGGGGATTAGAATTGATAGAGAGAGGCAAGGCAATGTGAGTTAAGGAACAAGAAGGGGATGATGGTAGTTGCAAGTCTAAAGTTTAGAGAGGGACAGGGATAAGGCCCTGACCCACTGCTGGAGTTTGAGGACACATGCTCTAGAGTCTAGGACACACAGCAACTTGAAAAGACTCTCCTACCAATCTATTTATTTACTTAATCACTGTCCGCCTTTCTTCCAGGCATTGTGGCACCAAGGCTTACTTTCCAATCTGTTCAACCCCCAGTGTCACAATGGGTTAAACCCTTGTGCCGGCAGGACTGCTGACCAATAGGTCAGCTGTTCAAATCCAGGGAGAGCAAGTTGAGCTCCCTCTGTCAGCTCTAGCTCCCTATGCGGGGACATGAGAGAAAGCTCCCACAAGGGTGGTAAAACATCAAACACCCAGGCATCCCCTGGGCAATGGCCTTGCAGACAGCCAATTATCTCACACCAGAAGCGACTTGCAGTTTCTCAAGTCACACCTGATATGGAAAAAAAGCCTATACATTTCTGACTCAAAGCAAGTGGACAAGATTAAATGAAGTTGAGGAGGAATTTAAAAGGGTCTTGCTCTGAAGGAGAGACCCTGCGGACCCACCAAAGAGGGCTCGCTACAATGGTGAGCAAAGAGAAGCTGAAATTAAAAGATTTTCCTAGGTTCCCAAAAGAATCTCACCAAAGCTGAAGGAAGTGCCACCGAGTTAATTTTATTGTGATCCAGCTGGAAAGGATGCAAAGCTGCAATAATTCGTCAAGTAAAGCATACAGTGTATACAAATAAAGGCCTTTTTATACATAAAACAGAGCTGTCCGGTTTGAATTTCCCACTCCCCGCCCCTCTTCCGGCTTGACGATGATTGGCTGGCGCTCTACAGCTGGGAGGAGGCTTGGCCACCTCCTGAGCGCCTGGGCCAATCGCTGAGCTTCTGCCGCCTCGGCTTCCCAACCAATCAGGAGAGAGGGAGGTGGGACGAGGGGGAAACAATGCATACTTGAATGGATTATGGAGATATGAAATGTCCAAGCGGCCAACGAGTCCCAGGGGCCTGCAAGCCAGCCCTCCTATTGTCCTTGATTAGTGGCAATAATCGTTGACGTCACGTCTGGCAAGCCTGTCAGATCTGGATTTTCTTGGGGCTGAGATATGGGAACAATGAGGAAATCTGGCTGAAGTTTCAGTGGAGGAAGATTTAAATGAATAACAGATCAGGACAAAGTGTGGCTTTCCAAAGGCCCCTTTTGTCCTATTGAGATATGATCATCAATGGCAAGCGACCGCCTCCGCTGGGGGGACCAACTCCTAGCCCCAGGAGTCACGATCCATTGTTATTGTCCATGCAAAAAGTGTATTTTGATAAGGTTCTTTTCAACTGAGGATTTCCTCCTTTCCAGAGTCACAGAGGGTGGCTTCTTACATTTTTTAAAAAGGGGATAGGGCAGAAGGGTCAGGTAAAGGTCAGAGATACAGGGAGAAATATAGAAATCATGGTGCAGAAAACATACCCACTTATCCCTCCCACCAGAGTCCCATAGAAGTTAATGAGAGTACATAAGTGTAAAGGGAGGTGGTTTCTCAGTAATAAATGTGTTACCTTCTATTATATATGAAACATAGGGCATAACACCTTGATTAAATGTACACACTATTTAACATGGGAAGGGTCCTTGTTGTTGTTAGTGTCTTCGCAAATTGACCAAGGCTTAACCCTTATTATTCAGTCTGGTGTCCTTAGCAAAACTATAAGTTACTATCTTTTATTGGGGGGGGGGGTCATGTTCGACTTCACTTCCAGATGAAATGTTCCTTATCCTGCATTTCTAAGTGAGAAAGAATAATTACTTTCCCCTTGATCTAGGAATCACCCCTTTCACTAAGATTTACAAGAGCTAAATAATAACAGTAGGTTCAGTTCTTTACTCCTCCATATCAGTTGGCTTCATACTCTGCTTAAGGTTTGATGAGATTGTCTGTAATATTAGTTTAGCTTATATCATCCTGAAATGAGACATTGATTTCATTATAGTAATTTCTACCAGAAGAACTGAAAAAAAATAAAATTGGACTATACAAAATATCAGGTACTCTCTTTAGCTTTCACCATCAGGTGTTCCTTTGTGTTCAGTCTGGGCCTCAGTATAAGAACGTAGCATTTGGGGATAAAAATGCAGCTCAATATCCCTGAAATGGAAGACAAAATGGAGAAAATCTGCACAGCCACCATGTATTTCCCTTTGGTGCTCAGATAGGTGGGCACAAAGGAGACCCAAACACTACAAAATACCAGCATGCTGAAGGTGATCAGCTTGGCCTCATTGAAAGACCCTGGCAACTTCCTGGCAAGGAAAGCCACAGTGAAACAGATGACAGCCAGAAAACCCATGTAGCCGAGGGCACTGTAAAACATGACCATAGAGCCTTCATTACATTGCAATATGATCTGCCCAGGCTGGGAGTGCAGGTCAGCATCTGGAAAAGGGGGAGAGATTCCTAGCCATATAATGCAGATGACCACCTGAACAATAGAACAGGAAATTACGATGGATTTGGCCAAACTCTTTCCCAACCATTTCCTCATTCTGTTCCCTGGCTTTGTGGCCGTGAATGCCACCACCACTGTAACAGTTTTGGCCAGCAAGGAAGATATGGCAACTGAAAAGATGATACTGAAAGCAGTTTGTCGAAGAAGGCAGGTTACCATCCGTGGGCGACCAAGGAATAGAAAGGAAGACAAAAGGGAAAGGAGTAGGGAGGCCAGGAGCGTGAATGTGAGATCACGGTTGTTGGCTTTGACTACAGGAGTTTGTCGATATTTAATAAAGATTCCTAAGATAAGGCTAGTGGTTACAGACAAGAAGAGAGCCAAGAAAGCCAGAATGATTCCCAAAGAGTCTTTGTAAGACAGGAAGTTTGTCATCTTGGGAACACATTGATCCCGAACCTTATTTGAAAAGTGATCATCTGGACAAGGATGGCAATCTGGAAAAAAAAATGCAAAAGTGACTTTAGGATAGATGCAGGTGAAACGTCAGGAGAAATGCCTCTAGAACATGGCCCTATAGCCCGAAAAAAACCCCACAAGAACCTAGTGATTCCAGCCATGAAAGCCTTCGACAATACATTGACTTTAGGATTACTAAATTTACCTTATCCCAATAATAATAATAATAATAATAATAATAATAATAATAATAATAATAGCAAAGACTCTGGCACAAGCCAGTAAAGGTGGTCCCAGTGGTGATCGGCACATTGGGTGCAGTGCCTAAAGACCTTCAGCACTGACAAAATTAACGTCTGTCAGCTGCAAAAGGTTACCCTACTCGGATCTGCATGCATTATACACCGATACATCACACAGTCCTAGAGACTTGGGAAGGGTCCGACGTGTGATCCAATACAACAGCTAGAAGAGTACAGTAATCTTGTTTGCTGTTAACTAATCTTGTTATGTTTCAAATAACAATATGCCTTATTTATGTTCCACTTTATCTCCGCAGAGGGAGTCAGAGCGGATTACAGTATACACATTTAAGGCAAACATTACATGCCTTTTACACAGTGAACATCAACAACATACAATGCATAGACAAAGGTATAAGCCATCCCCTTTTCATCTCCAACATCTGGAGGCAATTCTCAACTCCGGCCATGGGGAAGTGCTCTTGTTTCATTTTTTCATGCCAAGGAGCTTGTTGTCCATAGATATCTCTGATCATGTTGCCGGCACATCTGCATGTGGCGCCCTTTTACCTTCCCACTGAGGCAGTATCTATTGATCTACTTGCATTGCATGCTTTCGAACTGCTAGGTTGGCAGAAGCTAGGGCTTGACAGCAGGAGCTCACCCAACTTGCAGCTTCGAACTGCCAACCCTCGGTCAGCAGCTTTTCTTGTAGCTAGCGGTTTAACCCACTGCACTACTAAGGCCCCTAATAATAGCCCAATTGTTACAGCATACTTTGTGCATGAGTATAAGAGATGGTCAAGCAAAGGACAGGGGTGTGCCAGTCTTTCTTTCTGCAATAAACAGAGCTGCGCATCTTTATTTTGGTCAAGTAAATAAACAGCTTGTTTTTTTCACTATTCTGAAGTTGCTCTCTTCACTCCCCAAAGTCCTAATGGACCCTTTTCTCTCCTACACAATGGGCATAGGAGATCATATCAAGGATACTGGTACAGTAGCCAATCCTCCATATGCATGGATTTTGTGTCCTCAAAATGAACCCTTCATGACTTGAAATATTCCTTCCCCCTCCACAAAAAATAAAAGTAATCCTTGATGTTGCCATTTTAAAGACAGGGGGGTATTTTGCTATAGCTTTGCAGACTTCAGCATCAAAGGATTTTGGTATCCACAAGGGGTTCAAAACATAGCCCCAATGGATATCAAGGTCCTATTGTATAAGTTTACTATTTAGTCACCTTGAAGAGGGCTGCTTAGTTTTGAAAGTCTGATTGATCATAGGACAGTCTGGGACTGGAACAAAACGATTGTGACTATTGAACGATCTTGGTATTTTTTCCACGCAACTTCCCTCTGACTGTTTCCGGACCCAGGATGTCACCATTACCAATCATGTATAAAACATTTCATGCATGTTTTATGTGGGAGCCTGGAGTTACACTTGACTCCCTTGACTACTTTGTAATTTAATTTATGAACTTTTCAGTTCTGAAAACATTTCTCGCATGCCTTTCTATACAGCCATATAACCCAGAATATCAAGGCAGAAAATCCCATAAAATCTGCTTTGAAACTGTGGTATCTGAGTCCATAGTGCCATGTTTATTGATTTCTTTATTTATCGTGTCAGAAGCAAATTGAGGGCACAGTTAAGAAAAAGCAAAAAAAGTTAAAAAACTTGGCATTATACTAGATTTCCTTTGACCAGAAGCTGGCTACTTGGAGTGGCTCTGGTGTTGCTATAAGAAGGTCCTCCATTGTGCATGTGGCAGGGCTCAGACATCATTCTAATAGGTGGTCTGTGGTTTGCTCTTCTGCACACTCGCATGTTGTGGACTCCACTTTGTAGCCCCATTTCTTAAGGTTGGCTCTGCATCTCATGGTGCCAGAGCATAGTCTGCTCAGTGCCTTCCAAGTCACCCAATTTTCTGTGTGTGTGACGGGGCAAGTGGTGCCACCTATGTATAGAACTGTTAGTTGTTAGACTTAAACTGTTGTATTATGCTTAATCCTGCCCCTTTTTACCTTGCTTGTGTACAGTTGCATGGATTGGTTGCTTGTAGCTGTCTATCAGTACTGTTTGGCTCCACCTCTTCCTGCAAGAGGGGAGAACTTCCTTTTCTTTTCATTCTGCCTTCAGAGTTCGTACCAGATGGATGTGAGTAAAAGACCTGACTCTAAAGGACCCTGATTTAAGTTACCTCTTAGCACCAGTTCTGAGGTTTTTTACCCCTGGGACTCATGCTTTATGTCCAGATCGTCCTGGACAATTATTGAGGAGACCCAGGCGCCTTCAAGCCGGTTCTTTTGGCACCAAAGGAAGATCCTGAATCTTCAAAACATAGGCCATCTGAACTGGGGTTGTGGTTTGCTCCGGCATTCACAGCCATTGAGGAAAGAGGAAACTTGGTGAGGCTTCTCAGCTTCAAAACCACTTGGACCCAGGACTAATAGAGACTGTAACGTATGTTTTCCTTCACCCCTCTAAAGTTTTCCAGTTCATTACTTTGAAGAAATGACGTTGTGATAAATAAAACTTATTTTGAGCAATTTACATCGTTTTGAGTTTTTGGGAGTTCCAGTTTCCTAAAGGAGGGCAAGAAGCAATCCCTTGGGGGAAAAGTACCACGTCCAAACCTCCTTCATTAAGACTAATAGCCCCCAAGCGCGACGGCACAGTGTGCCCAAGAGGGAGTTTTTCATCCGATATCAGCCATGGATTGAGGTTCTGGGTTTTAACCTGCCACTTTTGGACTCTCGCTTGCTGAGGTGTTCCTGCGAGTATCACTGTAGATCTTAGGAAGCTGTTTCTTGATTTAAATCATTGGCATGCTGGCTGATATCTAAACAGGGGATAGGCCAGAGAAGTCACTGCTATGGTCTTTTCATTACAGGCTGCTACTTCCTGACGGATGTCAGGTGGTGCAATACCACTAAACAGTATCATTTCTCCAGCAGTGTTGGGCATAGACATCCTGTGATAATGCTGCATGTCTCATTAAGAGCCACATCCACTGTTTTAATGTGATGAGATGCTTTCCACACTGGGCATGCGTATTCAGCAGCAGAGTAGCAAACACACTGCCATATAACCCAGTTCAAAGCAGATAATGTGGGATTTTATGCAGCTGTGTGGAAGAGGCCCTATTCCACAGTGCCATATATTCCAGTTCAAAGCAGAAAATGTGGGGTTTTATTCAGCTGTGTGGAATGGCCTCAGAGATGTGACTGGGACATGGGAAGTACATTATTCCTAACCCAGTTTAAGGTATAATGAAGCTAACAGCACATATGATTTGTTGCTTTGCTTGTTGTTGTGTACCCTCATGTCATTTCCAGTTTACAGCAACCCCGAGGCCACCCTAGGTAATTTTCAACGGTAAGCAAACAGTATTTTGCCCCCCCCCCCCACAAACCAATCACTGATATATATTTTCTGTTTGTCGTGGGAGTTCTGTGTGCTATATTTGGTTCAATTCTATCATTGGTGGAGTTCATAATGCTCTTTGATTGTAGGTGAACTATAAATCCCAGTAACTACAACTCGCATATGTCAAGTTCTATTTCCTCCCAAGAGCGCCTCAAAAGCGCCCCTGGGCAAAATCAACTATACTGCAAATGCTTACTTTGCATAATGGGTTGAGCCGCCCCTGCCAAAGGCAAAACATTCAGTAGTGTGAAACTTTATTTGCTTTTCCAAGACAACAGTAGTTCCATTACCTTCTTGAGTAGAAATGGTCCCTTCCATGCAAGGAGTGCACCCATAACAGCAGACTGGCTCTCCCTCCTTAATCATCTTGGCATATCCAGGGCCGCAGCTTAGCGTACATTTAGAAAGAGGCAAGGTCTAGTGAAAATGACAAAGGTCACACACAAAACACACCAGGCAATTATGAGAAGAGGTTGTGATATTTATTGCTGTGTTTCACAACTTCTTGTTTTTGAAAATGAAAATGCCACGTGCCTTTCTTGGATTTTTTTTTTAAATTAAAAAAATATTTTAAAGCGATAGATTATATAATCCATGGATGTGGAATCCATGGATACGGAGAGCTAACTAATATTTGTGTGGTCCTGAACAATTTTCTGTCAATTTCTGACACCAGCTGCATGTTTACCATATTTGCAGATGACACCATATTGGGAAAGATAGCTAATACCCCAGAGAACAGGATCAGAATCCAAAAAAGGATTAGAGAACTGTGTCATGACCTTCTTTCCTGTTTTTGTGTGGAACCAGGAAAGTAGGCCATGCCTTGGCCTGCCCTGGCCTATGCATACTTGAAACAAAGGAAAGGATTTCCATGAAAATTGGAGCAATGAAGGGGGGGGGGGGCGCAAGGTGAAGGATAGAAGGTGTGAGGAAAGAAACTGTCAGTTGGAACTTTGTTTATAACCGCCCTGTATGCTTTGAGAAATAAAGCCTTCCCACTCTGTTTGTGAGGTAATTTCTTCACCAGAAAGCTGCAGATCAGGATAATCTGGGCCAAAATAAATAAATTGAAATTCAACATGGAGAAATGTATGGTATTACATTTAGGCATTAAAAATGAAATGCACAGATAGAAGATAGTATATCTTTGAAATGTGTTGTGTGCGCGCATGCACGTGCACATTCTGTTTTGGAATGGGGATCCCAAAACCAATATGTCATAGTCCTGTAAATAGCAATATTAGTCTGGATCAGTATGCAAAGGGATCATGTAGCACTTTTGAGTCTGTTGAATGTTTCAAGATCCCTTTGCACAATGGTCCCATACAATCAGATTTAGATATTTGTGCAAGGTGTATTTAATTGAGGGTGGGGTACAATTTTTTTTTCAAATATATATTTATGCAGGAGGTATTTGATGGATTATAGTGAGGGTCACAAAACCCACACAGGTTCTTTGTTTAAAATATGTTTAATACAATACTAAAACTTAATTGATCCTCAAACTTTCCTCCTGGGATCTGTAGTTTGGTGAGGCACCAGCATGCTTTGATAGAGAAAGCCTTGTAAAACCACAACTACCACGATTCCATAGCACTACCTCATGACTGTTAAAGTTGTGTCAAACTGTATTAATTCTACAGTGCTGATACACCCCGAGAAAAGCCAAAGTTGTATGGGTCTCCAAAATAAAATTGGAAAGAAGGGGAACAAAATTGGAGACTTTTTGTTTTATTTTTTAAAAAATCAGTTGGGATGAGTCATAGAAAGATGTTCAAGGGAAATGACATGAAATGGATTGTTTCTCCCACCTGATTAAACCACTTGGGCCACACAATGGCATTCTGGTCAATGGTTAAATTGAAGTTTGCAGAAGCCAATCTCTCAAGTCTCCCAACTCTTCGTCTGTCAAGAGATAGATTGGGAGAAGCTGCCCAGTTCACAATATCAAAGTTAGCTGCCAGGTCTCCATTCTCATCCAGATAAGTTCCATCCAAGGAAGTATTGTAAAAGCGATAGTTTCTCAGGAATGAGTGAAGCTAACAAAAAGAAAGAAAAGAAGAAGCAGAAAAGCATGTACTGAAACAACACTTTTTGTATTAGCTCTCAACATCTTCTTTTAATGTAGGCAGAGGCGGCCCTAGGTAATTCTCAATGGTAAGCAAACAGTATTTTGCCCCCCCCCCCCAACCAATCACTGATATATATTTTCTGTTAGTCGTGGGAGTTCTGTGTGCCATGTTTGGTTCAATTCCATCATTGGTGGAGTTCAGAATGCTCTTTGATTGTAGGTGAACTATACATCCCAGTAACTACAAATCACATATGACAAGATCTATTTTCCCCCAAGAGTGCCTCAAGAGCACCCCTGGGCAAAATCAACTATACTGCAAATGCTTACTTTGTGTAATGGGTTGAGCAGCCCCTGAATGTAGGGGTCATCAAACGAAGGACCCCGGGATGGATATGATTCTTCGAGGTCATTTACTCAGCCTGTGCCCCAAACTTTAGTCTTAGGACCACTTGAAGCCTGAAAGTACTTGAAGGCACACAACAGCAACAATCCTAGTTAACTTGACTCTCTCATGTTGATTGGAACAACACAACTCTCTGACTTACATGAGCTCTCACACAAAGGTTTAGTTTATTCCTTTAAAATAACATTTATATTTATTTGAAAGCTTTATACTCCAGAGGTTGCTAGAAACATTGATTATCCCAGAGTTTTGCAGCAGTCTCAACACCAGGATTGGTGAAGTTACTTACTATTCATAAAACTATGTGTGAAAGTGAGAATAATACCTGCCATGGAGTAACTGTTTTATGTTTCCTCTTGTAACGTTGCATCATAACCATTGATTGGGATGAATGTAAGGCATTCAGAGCATGGACCACAGCATGAATTGTGTTGTATATACTGTAGCTGTCTTGAGACAAGATTTGTTCAATCAAATCCTCTGGTAATGTCTCTAGTTGTTCTTTTTCTCTACATCTTGTCCAAACTTTCATGGAATGCTTTGAAGAAGAACAATGAAATGCTTTGTCTCCAAAGTCCCTGATAAGGGAATAAAATCTATCAAAATGTCCATTTTGTGTCATTTTCTTTGTCTGGATTAAGAAAGACAGAGAGGCAGGGATGCACTGGGAATCCAAACGACTGTAAAGCACATTCATTGTGAGGTCCTGCAAAGCTGTTGTGACCCAGACTTTCCCTACAATTCTGTTTTTGGTCTTTTTAATAGCTTGTATCAACACAGCCAAAATAAAGCTGGACTGAGAGTCTCCATAGTACACAATGACATTGCTTTGCCTTTGAGTGAGAAATGAAAGCATGCGTTTTGGTGGAGATTTGAGTACATCCACTGTTGGGATGGTTCCTGAGAAGGCAATACAAATACCATTCTTGACAGCTATAGGGGCAAAAGTGCTTATGAACCATTGTCCATCGTTATTGTCTGGTGCAATGAGACCTATCCAAGTCCATCCGAAATGTAGGAGCAATTTGACAATCCCCAGGTCAGGAGGCTCGAGTTTTGGAACCATTCGATGGATAAAAGGGAATTGATTTTTATCATTATCTACATAAGTAACCAAACCATATCTGACCTAGCAAAGAAAGAAAAGGATTTTCAGGAAAAGGCTCAGATGTCTCCTAAACTAAAAAGTAACAAATGATGTAACAAGCCCTGCTGGTCTGAATACGAGAGTTAAGATGATGGGTCTATCTATACTGAAGAATTACTGCAGATTGATACCATTTTAACTAGCATGGGAATTGTAGTTTGGTGAGGCAGCAGCATTCTTTGGCGCAGAAGCAACAGGTGGTACTTTGGCGCAGAAGCAATCACAATTAGAGACTTAGGACCTTGTCACATGGGCAGTTCCAGCTGCCACCGGCACTCCTCTTAAGGGCGAGGCATGGAGCCCTTGTTTTGCCTTGCCTTGCCTCGCTGGCAGGCAGAGTGATCACATAGAGCAGTGCTTCTCAACCTTCCTAATGCTGTGACCCCTTAATACAGTTCCTCATGTTGTGGTGACCCCCCAACCATAAAATTATTTTCGTTGCTACTTCATAACTGCCATTTTGCTACTGTTGTGAATTGTAATGTAAATATCTGATATGCAGGATGTACCCGATATGCCCAAATTTGAATACTGGTGGGGTTGGTGGGTTGATTTTGTCATTTAGGAGTTATATTTGCTGGGATTTATAGTTCACCTGAAATCAAAGAGCATTCTGAACTCCACCAATGATGGAATTGAAGCAAACTTGGCACACAGAACTCCCATGACCAACATAAAATACTGGATGGGTTTGGTGGGCCCTGACCTTGAGTTTTGGAGTTGTAGTTTACCTACATCCAGAGAGCACTGTGGACTCAAACAATGGTGGATCTGGACCAAACTTGACATGAATACTCAATATCCCCAAATGTGAACACTGGTGGAGTTTGGGGGAAAATAGACCTTGACATTGCTGGGATTTATAGTTCACCTACAATCATTCTGAACCCCACCAATGATAGAATTGGGCCAAACTTCCCACACCAAACTCCCATGACCAACAGAAAATACTGTGTTTTTGACTGTCTTTGGTGACCTCTCTGACACCCCCTTGCACCCCCCACAGAGGTCCCGACCCTCAGGTTGAGAAACACTGATATCGAAGGAAGTGAGGAGCGTGTATAGTGCTCACGGCTTCCCCCCATGGATCTGGCAACACAGGATGCTTCAAGTGTTGCCACTCCATTCCAGCTCCGTTTAGGAAAGCCAATCACACTATACGTACTCCTCACTTCCCTCCATGTGATTCTGCTGCCAGCTGGTGAGATGAGGTGAGCGCTTTTAAGAGGAATGCTGTCGCCGGCTGCCGCTGGCCTTGTGATGACATCCTAATAAGAGCAGCATTGCTGCTGCCACCAGCTGTGTGATGAGGTCCTTCTAAAGAGACATTTTATATCTAACATTCCTATTACTTTTGGCAAATCTGCTAAGGAATCAGTACTGAAACCCAGGTATAAGGATTACCTAGATTTTTGTAATATTCCTTTTCAGGAGAAATATAATTCCATAGCATCTTCCATTCAAGTAATTTTGAACTTGTGACACTGTGACCATGTGGGTTTTTTTTTGGCAAGATTTGCTCAGAGGAGGTTTGCTTTTGCCTTTTACTGAATCTGAAAGAATGTGCCCAAAGTCATCCAGTATATTATCAGGTCCAGTGCTTGTATTGTGACATTTCTAGGAAAAGTGCTACTTAGCTTGCATACCTTCCAATTTCTTACCTGTGGGATTTTGTAGAAGCCCAACATTGTTGAAATTTGGCTGGAGATGTCAAAGTCAGCCCCGTCAAGAACTGCCAAAATGTTACTCTGTCTTCCACAACTGTAGTTTGGGACCTTCTGCTGCCCAGTTGACAGTAAGTCTATTGTGGCCTCATAAGTCATTCTTAAATTGAAGTAGGTCTCATAGATGCTGTAGCCCAGAGTGATATTGGGTAAGAGTCTTGGATCTTGATTGACCTCTTGCATGGCAAATAAAAAGGGCAGAATGTGCCAAAATTTCTGGCCTCTTAAGCTGCAACAAAATGTGTCACAATGCTACATCATTTTTGTTTGACTTCTGCCCTCACGTCATTTCCAACTTACAGCAACAAACACTTGTGCTTTAAAAAATAAATATTTAAAATGTCTTTTTCCTCTCCCCTTCCCTCAAGAACAGTGTTTCTCAACCTGGGGGTCAGGACCCCTGGGGAGGTTGCAAGGGGATTTCAGAAGGGTCGCCAAAGACCATCCGAAAACACATATTTCTGATGGTCTTAGGAACCCTTATGGCAGAGAAGGCTGAAGATCTCTCCACCTGTCCTTTTTCTTTTTGGTGTTGGTGAGCTATAATTCCCAGAATTCACAACCAGCACCAGTATTCAATATCGGCCATGTCATTAGTGTGCCAAGTTTGGTGCAGATCCATTTGGGCTGGGTTCAAAGTGCTCATTGATTGTAGGTGAACTATAAATTCCAGTAGCTACAACTCCTAAAGCCAAGATCTATTTTACCCCAACCCCAACCAGTGTTCACATTTGGGCATATTGAGTATTTGTGCCAAGTTTGGTCCAGATCCATCATTGTTTGAGTCCACAGTGATCTCTGGTTGTAGGTGAATGACAAATCCAAAAACTGAAGGTCAATGCCCACCAAACCCTTCCAATACTTTCTTTTGGTCCATCATTGGTGGAGTTCAGAATACTCTTTGATTGTCGGTGAACTATAAATCCCAGAAACTACAACTCCCAAATGACAATATCAATCCTCCCCCCAACCCCACCAGTATTCAAATTTGGGTGTATCATATATCTGTGCCAAATTTGGTCCAGTGAATGAAAATACATTCTGCATATCATATATTTACATTATGATTCATAACAGAAGCAAAATTACTGTTATGAAGTAGTAATGAAAATCGTTTTATGGTTAGGTGTCACCACAACATGAGGAACTGTATTAAGGGGTCGCAGCATTAGGAAGGTTGAGAAGCACTGGGCTAGATAACCCTTAGGATTCCTCCCAACTCTTTGATTCCAAAGCTAAGTTTTCCTTAAAACAAAGTGAAATTCAAATATTATTTACTTATTATAGTTACCATACAATTGAGCCAACAACAGTAAATGTAACACCAAATATTTACTCACGCAGCAAAAGAAAAATCAGGGGGTTTGTAGAAGAGAAATGGCTTGATAACACTATTTGTTGTCGATACAATACCACCAATAATATGATCCCCAGGCTTGTAGAAGCTAAATGGGTCCTTTCGATCATTTATCAGAGTGAAAGTGCATTTTGCCTTCAGCATCCCGCAGGAGGTATGGGGAAGCAGCAACCAAAGCATTAAGCGCAAGAGCATTTCTGTATACTTGAAGCAGTCACTACTCTTAACAGCTCTCAGTTCCAAATCTGTTTAGTTAGAAAAAGTCGCAATAGCATAGACACAAATACATTAATAGGGATAGAAGTCCAATAAAGAGATTAAAATAGACCCAGCTCGCAGCAATATCAGTCTTAGGCTCTTGATATTTGTAACCTTCTCACATTTGTAGTTTGTTCTTCATTTAAGGTTTACATTATGTTATGTATTTTAGAGATGACATTTAAAACAATCCCCAGAGCTCTGACAAAAGTAAAAGAAATAATTATCATGTGGATAATTATGATGCAAAAAAAACAAAACCTCATAACATCTGTGGCTCCATGCACAGGTGCAAAATGGAGAAAGCGTGTTTCTGAGAATCATCTTTTTGGTTGTATGCATTTTTAGGTTTCCACAAGGGAGAGAGAGTGTCAGTGAGCAGACTATAGTTCTGGACCGCCTCTCTGGGATGGGACCTGGGGGCACGTTGAGCAGTGTTTCCAGTACTTCTTTGGAGAGGTGAACCCAGAAGATCAAACTGTTGCACTCCAGGCCTGGAAACAAATTTGACCACTGCATCACACAAAAGTCCAGGAATATAAGCAAACAGTTTATTGTAAAAACACATAAAAATAATATAAAATCAGGAATAAGAAAGGAAGATGTATAATTCAAAAAGGTTTAGCAACAGGTGATAACCAAACAAATAATCCACATTCCTCATAAAGTTCCAGAGATGACAAAGTCTAGGCACAGCCAGAAATAACAAATACAACGTAAGTCCACTATCAAGAAGGCATTACTAGTAAAACTTGAACAGGAGTACATGAACAGGAACATAGAAAACTTCCAGGATATATATAAAATCCAAAATCAAAGCTTGACTTGAACCAGGAACAGACTCCAGAAGGCAAAAGTTCAAAATCTTACTTGGTCATGGAAACTGAATGGATGATTTTGGGTAAACCACATCTCAGACTCAGAAGACATTATACCAAGAAACCACTGTGATACGTTTACCTTAGGGTCGACCCGGGCTTTAGCACAGTAATTTAACCACCAGCTGCAATAAATCTTGCCAATTGAAAGGTTGGCAGTTCAAAGCCCAGGTTAAGGGTAAGCATCCAACCTTCAGCCCAGCTGAATGTCCATCTAGCAGATCGAAAACAGCTGTGAGTAGATAAATAGGTACCGCTTAGTGCAGGGAGGTATTTTAATGGCACCATAAGGAAATACCAGAAGAAATACTGGCAATTCAATCAAAAGGAGGAAGTCTGTGAACAAGGCTCTTCAGCATGGTGGATGGAGCAACAGCACCCTCTCATGACTGGAATCGAGCACAACCTCCAAGATGCTGAAGATGGGAAAAGCCTAGATACCTTTATCTATGTATTGCATCTGTCCTGTCAGTGTATAACAGCATTTAATGTTTGCCATATATGTGTTGTGTGATCCACCCTAAGTCCCCTTTGGGGTGAGAAGGGCAGACTATAAATACTGTAAATAAATTAGGGTCACAATTAGTAATAAAATAACTTGAAGACACAGTCTAAGATTGAATTTGTTATCAGGAATGTTTTACTGATTTATGAGTTTTTAAACTTATTGTTCCAATTCCATTTTCTCAATAAGAAGAATCATACATTTTATGTCCTACTGTTCTATTCCTACAATACATTCATTTTTATAGCTCATAATATTGCTTTCTTTCATAATGCATATGAAAAAAGAGATATGTATTTTAACAGCATTAGATTAGTATACACATAAAAGATGTGAATTCTATCATATTCAGTGGACAAACCTGTGCTAAATAAAATAAGACCTCATCACACTAGAGAATGAATCCACTTTAAATCCAGTTGCTGCCTCCTGCAGAATTCTAGGGTTTGTAGTTTAGGGAGGAGCATTTAACAACCTCCCTAATCTACAAACTCCAGAATTCTGCTGGAGGCATAAACCAGATTTAAAGAGGATTCATTCTCTAGTGTGATGAAGTAGTAAGAGCAGATTAGAAGAATCAAGTGCCATCTTGAGTTTTCAGCACCAGAAAGTTCTTTGTATTCAAGTGATGTCTAAATAATATAATGTGGCATTTGGGGATAAACATGCAACCCAGTAACCCCAGACTGGAGGACAAAACAGAGAAGAGCTGCACGGCCACCATGTATTTCCCTTTGGTGCTCAGATAGGTGGGCACAAAGGAGACCCAAACACTACAAAAAATCAACATGCTGAAGGTGATCAGCTTGACTTCACTGAAAGCACTTGGCAACTTCCTGGCAAGGAAAGCCACAGTGAAACAGATGGCAGACAGAAAACCCATGTAGCCGAGGGCACTGTAAAATATGACCATAGACCCCTCGTTGCATTGCAATATGATCTGCCTAGGTTGGGAGTGCATGTCAGAATCTGGAAAAGGAGGAGAGACTCCTAACCAGACTACACAGATGGCCACTTGAACACTAGAGCAAGAAATGTCTATGGAGTTGGCCAAACTCTTCCCCAACCATTTCCTCATCCTGTAGCAGCTTTCAGCAACATATCCTAATTGTTGGAATAAAATATAAGATCTCTTTTTAGAAGTATTTACTGACATAACCAGCCTGACTTAGCGATTTGAGTGCTGGTCTGGGAACCTGAAAGACCAAGGATCGAATCTGCTCTCAATAATAGAAACCCAATGGGAAATCGCACACTCTCAGCCTCAAACTGAGAACCTCAGATTAAAATCCTTGGTCTCCATTTTGTTAGGCCTTCCTGAATAAGAAAAGATTGTGCAGGTCCCCAGTCCCAAAGAGCCCTTTGCTCTGGGATGGGCTGTTTCCTTTGAGTGGTCAGTGCATGGACAGGAGAAGCTTTCTTTATGACATCCCCTTATTTAGAAAATAGGAAACTGTAAATTGAGCTACATCCCTGCCTTTTGACAATATAAGTGAAAGAGAATGAGGTGTAGATTTCTCATTGGCCAGACAAGCCACGAGATGATGCCAGTTGCTAGAGATAAGGGTAACTGAAACTTGTTCTAGAACAGTGGTTCCCAACCTTTGGGCCTCCAGGTGTTTTGGACTTCATCCCCCACAGTTCCTAACAGATGGTAAGCTGACTGGGATTTCTGGGAGTTGAAGTCCAAAGCACCTGGAGGCCCAAAGGTTGGGAACCACTGCTCTACAAGGTGCCATCTAATACTCCTATAATAGATAGTGGGCATCACACAACAAATGTGAATTTCAGCATTTTATTCTGAATCTTGAATTAATATTGTGAAGTCTTGGCTCTGCCTTCTCCTCTCCTTTGCTTTAGTTTCCCCTGTTTATAAGCCTTCCCAATACTGTAGAGACCTTCTTTTGTATTAGTTTTTGGGTGGAGCTTCCTGGCAAGGAAGCCAGTCTTAGTTGGACTATTCCATTTCCCTGTAAAGAGCTCTCTTGCTGGACTACTCTCTTTTCTACAGTCACTAGAGGCTTGGGGCATTGTCTGGTGATCCTAGACTCAAGCAATCCAAATAAGCAATCCAAATACTGAATTTAGCAGTATTTTTATACCAACTGTCCAAAGGACAACAGAAGCTTTTGGCCAGCCTAAGCTTCACAAGAAAGAAAATTAATACAGTTTATAAGCAGCAACTTGTAATCCATCGCTTTGCATCAGCGGCAGAAGTTTCTAGAGCAGTGGTTCTCAACCTGGGGTCCCCAGATGTTTTTGGCCTACAACTCCCAGAAATCCCAGCTAGTTTACCAGCTGTTAGGATTTCTGGGAGTTGAAGGCCAAAAACATCTGGTGATCTCAGGTTGAGAACCACTGTTCTAAAGAGATGACTATAACCAGCAAAATCTCCTTTTTTAATGTATTGTTTTAAATTACTTTATGATAGTCCCAGATGGAGTTTATTCATCTTGTTTCAGTAAACTAATTTTGATTATCTTTTCACCTTGTCTAAAGTGCCTCTGTCTGCTAAGGGTCTTAATCTTAACAGAAGGTATACAGATAGCCCCCAAGTAAAGCCAGAAAATATAGTTTTCCCAAAGGCTTGGTGTGTTGCATCCCAGTTCAAGAAACGAGACCATAAGATTAAATCCACCACACTGGACTGTAGGAAAAGCAATCCTTGTTTATTGATGAAAAATTGGTTACAAAAGAAAGGTAAATGCAAAGTCAAAAAGCCACAGAAAAACACAGCAGTCAGTAGAATCTCTGAACTTGAGCAAAATTTCAAAAGCCACAATACAAGAACCAGGAACCTGTTAGTCTTTTACTAACCATGAACTTGATAAATACAAGCCTCTGGGATTACCGGCCATGAAACACAGGAATTCTGCCAAGGCACAGCCACAGTCCCAAACGTTGCTTGATCTAAAGAGGCACCCGGCAGGAGGCCTCTTAAACCAAAGAAGCTATTCTTTGAAACGCCCCTTGACTTTGGAGCCTGGGCCTGTCTCTCCTGTAAACGAAGTGACCTTCGTAGAAACTGGGAAATATTTCTGTCTCTAACTATCTGTTCTCTTCGGTCCTCATTAAAAACCCCAGGTGGAGAGATATCACGGCTAGTTTCCAAAACATTTTCCCCCAGCTGTTGAGTTTCATTTCCATCACCGTTGACCTCTGTATCAACAACAGATTCCACACTGTCAGGGTCAGGGAGAGCTTGCTCAGTTGGAAAAACTATCAGAGAATCCGGTTCACACAGATCAGGATCAGGCTGAACCCCAACATGGTGTGAGGAATTCCCTACCTTTCTAGGCCAGGGAAAGCCCAGGAGGTAAGCTCAGGGAAAGACCCAGAAATTTCAGTGGCCATTTTAGAAGGGTGCCTGGGGGCATTCATTTTAGAAACTCATTTCCTAGAGGGGGCGGTGCTTAGGAGCAGCCTGGAGGGAAATGTGGGGAGTTTGTGATTGGCTGGGAGAGAGTGGATGGAGCTTAACTTGAGAAAAGAAAAAAAATTGTCTTTCAGGGTGCATTTTAAAACCAGACAGCTCAGTTGGAGATTGGGTTTGGAACGAAGGAGAGAGGAGTTAGGAAGAGTGTGTGTCGGAGGAACAGAGTTAGAGAAGCCGGAAGTTGGTCAGTCAGCAGAGTTAGTTAGTGAGAAGATTTATAGCTATTAGATAGAATAGCTGGTGGAGTGAGAGACAGATCCAGAAGGAAAGGACTGTCTGTGTGGAGTTCAAGAATACTAGACAGAGGGAAAACCCATTAGTTTCTTGAGGGAGTAGATAAGAGTTCTTGAAACTAAGTGCTGAACTGTTTATTGAAAGAAACCACAAGCTTTTATTCAATATTGCAACCATCAAGCTAGTGCCTGCATTGTTCAAGTTCTCTCAAATAAACAACATTGTTATTTGTTCACAACAACTGACTCAAGAGTGCCTCTGTGTGAGAAGTTTTAGAGCAGTTTACAGAAGAATAGAGTTAAATGGTGGCAGCATGCATTTAAAAAGGAATCTCTTTATTGTTACCTCAGAATACAGCGCCTGAGTGTGAATCCAGCACATTCTAGCCTAATCAAACCTCAAGCCAAGCCAAAAGCTAAACATTTCTTTTAAGAGGGGTGAAAGCCAATGTTTGTTTTGAAAGGTTTTCGGCCAGAAGAGCTTTGCAGCTTATTCAGTTTTGATTTTAATTAAATTAGCCACATTCCATTTCGAGTGGTGGTACAGCGTTGGGATTTGTTACTTAAATAATCCCTAGCCTTTACATTTATTGGTGTCAGCGTGTGGGATCGTTAATTGAAATCCCATAACCTTTACATATATTGGTTTGCAGCATTTGGGATTTGTTCACAAATAAGTCCCTAACTATTATACTCGGGCGTGCCATCACAAATATTTTTTTCCCCCTCTTGATATAAGAAACAACTGTATTCATTTTGGCTGTCTTTGACTCTGCCAAGCTGATTGCCCTAAACTTGGAGGTGACAAGAATAAATTCTCTCTTACAGTTGCCAAATATCAAAGGTGACATAAAGTCACACAAGCACAACTAAGTTCCCGATCACTTAGTCTAAGTTTGCATTTGTTTCCTGGAAAGCCTATAGATTTTTGTATTTTGCTTGTTTATTCTTCCAATTATATTTTCTCGGTAAACCAATAAGGAAAATCAAGTCAACCATTTTATATCCAGTGGTTCTACTGTTACAGTACATTCATATTTATATCTCAGCCATATTAGTTTATTTCACAATGCATATAAAAGGAATATATATATATATAACAGCATATATAGATTATTCCTAGTGAGCTCCTTTACATGCACACTTGACAAACCAGTACCAAATGAAGAGCAAATCAAGAAGAAAAATCAAGTGCCATCTTGAGTTTTCAGCACTAGAAAGTTCTTTGTATTCAAGTGAGGTCTAAACAGTATAATGTAGCATTTGGGGATAAAAATGCAACCCAGTAACCCCAGACTGGAGGACAAAATAGAGAAGAGCTGCACAGCCACCATGTATTTTCCTTTGGTGCTCAGATAGGTGGGCACAAAAGAGACCCAAACACTACAAAATACCAGCATGCTGAAGGTGATCAGCTTGGCCTCATTGAAAGCCCCTGGCAACTTCCTGGCCAGGAAAGCCACAGTGAAACAAACGGCTGCCAGAAAACCCATGTAGCCGAGGGCACTGTAAAACATGACCATAGACCCCTCATTGCATTGCAATATGATCTGCCCAGGATGTGAGTTCATGTCGGAATCTGGAAACGGAGGAGAGACTCCTAGCCAGACTACACAAATGGCCACTTGAACAATAGAGCAAGAAATGATGATGGATTTGGCCAAACTCTTCCCCAGCCATTTCCTCATCCTGCTTCCTGGTTTAGTGGCCATAAAGGCTACCACCACCATGATGGTTTTTGCCAACAAGGATGAGACAGCCACTGAGAAGATGATGCTGAAAGCGGTTTGTCGAAGAAGGCAAGTTGCCATCTGTGGTTGGCCAATGAATAAAAAGGAGGACAAGAAGGAAAGCAGGAGGGAGACGAGAAGCATGTAGGTGAGGTCACGGTTGTTGGCTTTGACCATGGCTGTTTCCTGGTATTTAAGAAAAATGCCTAAGACAAATCCTGTGATTAGAGAAAAGAACAGGGCAAAGAAAGCTATGCAGATTCCCAAAGGGTCTTTGTAGGAGAGGTAGCTGATAGACTTGGCAAGACATTCTGTGCGATCCTTGTTGGAGTAATCTTCATCTGGACACTTAATGCAGTGATCAGCATCTAAAAAGAACAGCAGATGTAGCGTTATCATAAAGCAATGTAACATTTGATCTGTATGAAACAGGTATAAAAATCCAAGATTTGCTGAAAGTAAACAGATTTCAAGTCTTCCCCAACAAGGCTCTCAGCGAGTAGGGCTGGAACATTTATTTGCCAGTCAAATCAGACAAGACAGCCAGCCCTCCATATTTGTGGGTTCAACTTCTGCAGATTTGATTTGCAGACTTCATTAGGATTTCCTCCAGGAATTTCTAGAGTCTTTCTTTCTTTTTTTCTTTCTTTGTTTGTTTATTTATTTATTTTGTATCAAAAGCATTGCATAAATTAGTATAAAACTGATAAAAATAGATGGAGCACAAGGAAAAATGAGCAACACAGACTGCATTGTCTGTAGCTTTAAACAATTCTTCCTCTGTGCGTGAGGCAGGGCATAGTGGACAAGCATACAGATGCGGAGTTGTCTGTTCTGCTCCACATTCACAAAAGGTGTGGGATTATTCTAGGTAGTGCCATTTTGCCGTATTGTCTTTTGATCTGCCCACTAAACTTCTGAGTCTGTTCAAGGACTTCCAAGTTGCCCATTCTTGGTTTGCCCCTGGAAGAAGACCCTTATTTGGGGAGGGGGGATTCAATTGGGATTTTTTGGTTTAGCTGCCCAGGGGGATACTGTTGCTGTTGCTGAGGGAATGTTAAGAGGAGTGGTGGTTCTCATGAAGGGGGGGGGGCAATGCCAGCTAGCTTGTAGAGTTTATCAACAGGTGTAGGTTTAAGACATCCTGTGATTATTCTGCATGTTTCGTTCAATGCTATGTTCGCCTGCTTTGTGTGGGCAGACTTGTGCCAAACAGGGCAGGCATACTCAGCAATTGAGCAAGACAAGGCCAGGGCTGATGTTCTTATTAATGTTGGGTCTGCACCCCATGTTCTGCCAGTAAGTTTCTACAAGATGTTATTGTGTACAGCTACTTTGTGCTTGGTGTTCTGTATTGTGGCTATGTTTTTCACCAGATGCTGACATTAAAGTTCCACAGCAGGACCTGGAGTTTTCTAGAGCAGGATTCTCTCATGTGTTTTCCCATAGTTTTGCAGGGCCCTGTACCATAGTTTTCTCATAGTTGTGCAGGGCCCCCGTGCCTCTAACCCCCAAGGTGAAATCCTTGTTCAGAGCTGAGAGAAGGGCACTGGGGTCACTTACCTTCCTGGGTGGAGATGGTTCCTTCCGCACAAAAGGCACAATCATAGCAACAAGCCTGCTCTCCTTCCCTCGTCAGTTTGGCATATCCAGGGTGACAATTTTCAGTACATCTAGAGATGGGCACAATCTTAAGAAACATTTAAGAGAATGTATTAATTAATAGTTTTATCAAAGGAAATGTGTTTAAAGGAAAGAATTGGATGGAGAGAGAGAAAGGATTATCAGTGCAATGCTAAGCTGACAGTACCAGTTGATGGCCTGAAGATTCAGTCATGCAAAAGTCCCAAAGATGTGCCAAGTCCAGTCTGCAATTTAAAAAAGATTCCCTCTTGAAATTAAGTCTAGTTGTGTCTGACTCTGGGGGGTGGTGCTCATCTCCATTTAAGCCAAAGAGCTGGCGTTGTCTGTAGACATCTCCAAGGTCATGTGGGCAGCATGACTGATTGGAGCACCATTAAATTCCCACAGAAGTAGTACCTATTGATCTACTCACATTTGTGTTTTTGAACTGCTAGGTTGGCAGAAGCTGGGGCTAACAGCAGGAGCTCACCCCGCTTTCTGGATTTGAACCACCGACTTTTCGGTCAGCAAGTTCAGCAGCTCAGCAGTTTAACCCACTGCCCCACCAGGGACTCCATAATCTTCCAGTATCACCTGGTCCAGATCTTACCACTCTGATCCAGGAAAGGCTGCAGCTGCATTCCATATCTTACCTACAGGAAGATCCTTTGTGTCATGGATGTATTTCTGGTGTATTAAGGGGAGTGGTCCCTGTAGAATATATCTATATATATAAAAATGCTCTGTGCGTAATGAGTTCCTTAAAAACAAAAGAACCAATGAACGAAATCACACCAAATTTGGCAACAAAATGTCTCACAACACAAGGAGTGACCATCACTCAAAAAATATGATTTTGTCATTTGGGAGTTGTAGTTGCTGGGATTTATAGTTCACTTACAATCAAAGAGCATTCTGAACTCCATCAATGATGGAATTGAACCAAACTTGGCACACAGAACTCCCATAACCAACAGAAACTATTGGAAGGGTTTGGTGGGCATTGACCTTGAGTTTGGGAGTTGTAGTTCACCTACATCCAGAGAGCATGGTGGAGTCAAACAATGATGGATCTGGACCAAACTTGGCACAAGCACTCAATACGCCCAAATATGAACACAGATGGAGTTTGGGAGAAATAGACCTTGACATTTGGGAGTTGTAGTCACTGGGATTCACAGTTCACCTACAATCAAAGGGCATTCTGAACCCCATGAATGACAGAATCGGGGCAAACTTCCCACACAGAACACCCATGACCAACAGAAAATACTTAAGGCCATCCAATCCAACTCCCTTCATCAGGGAAAGAAAACATAAACAAAGTCCTCCTGACAAAGAGCCATCCAGCCATAGAGATAGATAGATAGATAGATAGATAGATAGATAGATAGGTAGGTAGGTAGGTAGGTAGGTAGATAGATAGATAGATAGATAGATAGATAGATAGATAGATATGATTCACACACACATAGAGATATAGTATCAGAGATATAGTATCATAGGAAGGACCCTTAAAGAAGGACAATGATATGTTGCATGTTCCAGGGTGGGCAAACCAGACACTCTCCACATCAACACTGACAAAGAAACAGCAAGAAATACTGTTTACCCACAAGCATAAAGAAATTACATATATTAGAAACGAACACTTTCTCATTACTTTGTTTTCCAGATCAATAGACTGGGCCACAGAAATGCATGGCAGGGGTCAGCTAGTTGACTATATAATAGTGAGAAAATATTTATTGTGATAATATTGGCAAGTAATAGAAAGGACAGAAAAATTTCTGAAAATGACATAGAAGGCAAATAAGAGAAGAAAAGGCAAAGGTAATAACAAAAATATACCCCAATTACAGGTTGAGTATCCCTTCTCCAGATTTCCAAAATACTCCAAAATCCAAAATTCTTTACATGTGTACTGAGATAGTGACACCTTTGCTTTTTAATAGTTCAGTGTGCATTGTACATTTTGTTTCATAAACAAAATTATTACGATTGTGCACAAAATTACCATCATATGTATATAAGGTGCTTATGAAACATTAATGAACGTTGTGTACAGAGTTTACGGCTGTACTCTTGCATCTATGGAAAGTCCATTAAAATCAGACGAGTTGACCTAAGAGTAGGTAAGAGCAGGATTGCCTGATAACAGCCTTAAGCAGAAATACAAAGGAAGATATTATTTGCCCCACCTGATTAAACCACTCGGCCCATACAATGGCACTCTGGTCAATGGTGAACTTGATCTTTGAGGAGTTCCATCTCTCTATACTTCCAACCTCGATTCCAGCAGTGGATTTGTTGGGGAAAACCACCCAATTCATGATATGAAAGTCAGCTGCCAGATCTCCATTCTCATCTAAATAAATACCATCCTTGGAAGTATTATAAAGCTCAAAGTTTCTAAGGAAAGGATGAAGCTGGAATGACATGGAGAAAGAGGTATATATTTGAGAGAGGAAATCCTGTTGTACACCTTTGGCACTCTCTTCTCAGTAATCTTTCTAGATGAATACAAGCTATTGATTTTTCGCTCAAAAAATCATATTGTCATGTTGTGAATTAACTGGAGAATGTGAACATGCTACAAAGGTAGCCTTAGGTATAACACATTGCTGTAATCCAAAGTTGAGGTTACAAGTACATGCACCATCACATCTGGTTTCAGACTGGTCATGGAACTGAGACAACCTTGGTCGCCTTAGTGGATGATCTCCACAGAGAGCTCAACAAGGGGAGTGTGTCCCTGTTGGTTCTCCTGGACCTCTCAGCGGCCTTCGATACCGTGGACCACGGTATCCTTCTGGGTCGCCTCATGGGAATGGGTCTTGGAGGTACTGTTCTGCAGTGGCTCCAGTCCTTCTTGGAGAGTCATCCCCAGAAGGTGTTGCTGGGGGACTCCTGCTCGACCCCACAGCCATTGTCCTGTGGGGTCCCACAAGGCTCAGTATTGTCCCCCATGTTTTTTAACATCTACATGAAGTCGTTGGGTGAAATCATCCTGTGTTTTGGAGTCTGATGCCATCTGTATGCAGATGACGTCCAACTCTATCCCTAATTTCCCCCAGATGCTGAGGAGGCTGTCAAAGTTGAACTGGTGCCTGGCTGCTGTGATGATCTGGATGAGGGCGAGCAAATTGAAGTTGAATCCATACAAGACAGAGGTCCTCCTGGTCAGTCAGAAGGCCGAACAGGGTATAGGGTTACAGCCTGTGCTAGATGGGTTTACACTCCCCTTGAAGGCACAGGTTTGCAGCTTGGGAGTCCTCCTGGAATCTCAGGTTGCAGCAGTGGCTAGGGGGGCTTTTGCACAATTAAAACGTGTGCGCCAGTTGCGCCTGTACCTTGGGAAGTCAGACTTGGCCATGGTGGGCCATGCTCTCATCACATCTAGGTTAGATTAGTGCAATGTGCTCTGTGTGGTGTTGCCTTTGAAGACTGCTCGGAAGCTTCAGATATTCCAACAAGAGGCAGCCAGGTTAATAACTGGAACAGCATACAGGGAGCACACAACTCCCATGTTACATCAGCTCCACTGGGTCCCAGTTTGCTACCGAGCACAATTCAAAGTGCTGGCTTTGGTCTATAAAGCCCTAAACGGCCCTGGCCCAATTTACTTGTCCGAACGCATCTCCCCCTATGAACCACCACGGAGATTAAGATCTTCTGGGGAGGCCCTACTCTTGGTCCCACCACTATCACAGGCGTGTTTGGCAGGGATGAGAGACAGGACCTTCTCAGTTATTGCCCCTCAGCTATGGAACTCCCTTCCTAATGAGATCAGGTCAGCCCCATCTCTCTTGTCCTTTAGAAGGAAGACAAAAACGTGGCCATGGGACCAAGCCTTTGGGACTGTGTAATGAGGCAGTGATAGGAACTCTTAGTATGCTAACCAAATTCAATATGGTTGTTGAGACAGTTCTAATTAGAGGATTTTAACGTCAAGATAAGTGATTTTAATGCTTTTTAATGTGTATGGTCTAGTATGTTTCGGCATTTAATGTTTGCCGTTTATATGTTATGCTCTGCCCTGAGTCCCCTTCAGGGTGAGAAGGGAGGAATATAAATGCTTTAAATAATAAATAAATAATAATAACCATCTTTAGGTCTTCTAATCCTAGAACTCCAACAAACCAAACCTCATCTAGCTCCCCATCAAAGAGGAGACACTTCCAAGTAATTGTTTCAAATGTACTGTTCAACAAAATGAACCAGGATATTTCTGCACAGTGTTTCATCAGCAGGATATCTAATAACATGAGCAAATCATTTGTGGTGTAATGCACAAGCAGAGGAGGCACCTCCAAAATACAATTCCCTGCTCCATTCCAGAACAGAATGCCTTGTAACTTTCCAATGGGACTGTATATGTAGAAAAAGAAATACCTTCCATGAAAGGACCCTTTGAAGAGTCAACCTGTTTCCACCCATCATTCTCATCAACTTCAATTGGGAAGAGTGTGCCTCATGCAAGGTCCATGCCACAGCCTTGAGAGCATTATAAATGCTGTAGGTGTCTTGAGAAAGAATTCTCTCAATCACATCCTGAGGGAGCTTCTTCACAGTGTTCTTTTCTGCACATCTTTTCAAGATTTTCACAGATGGAAATGGCCGTGAAAAGGAACAATGAAATGCCACTTCTCCAAACTGTGTGAGATAAATCATATTTTGGTCAAAGTCACTATAGTGTCTCCTTTTATTCATCTGGACAGAGAAGGACAAAGAGACATGTTTGTGCTGGAGATCAACCACTCTGTGCAGCAATCTCATGGTGTGGTCCTGCAAAGCTGTTGAAATCCAAACTTTCCCCACAGTTGAGTTTCTGGTCTTTTCAACATGTCTTATAAGTAGCCCTTGTGTATATACAATAAAAGGGTCCAGTTGATAAACAGCTACATTGACTATTTTATCCAAAAGAAATGAAAGCATATTGAATTTGGTGCTGGTTGTGAATTGCTCGCCAAAATTCAGCACAGGAAGCGTTTCTGAGAATGCAATGCAAACACCATTCTCATTGGCCACAGATCTGAAGGTACTCAGGAACTTTTCACCAGTGTCATTCTCTGGAGCAAAAAGGCCAATCCAAGTCCATTTTAAATGCAGGAGCAGTTTGACAATGCCCAGGTACGGAGGTTCTTGCTTTGGGGCTATTCGGTACAGAAAAGGTAATTGACTTTTTCCACCAAAAGCATTACTAAGGAAGCCATAGCTGACCTAATAAAGAAAGGAAAGGTTTGGTGCTATTTTGATTTTGAAGGTGAACTTCAAATTTGTATAATAGAACTATGTACTTCGCTAGCTTTAACAACTTCACCCTTTCTTAGGGTTTAATGTGCTTTATACAAATGCCATGTGGCAGCAAAAAAAAAAAAAAAGCCAATGGGATTTTGGCCTGTATCAATAGGAGTCTGGTGTCTAGATCCAGAGAAGTCATGCTACCCCTCTATTCTGCCTTGGTCAGATCACACCTGGAATCATACTGTGGTCGTTACAATTGAAGGGAGATGTTGACAAGCTGGAACGTATCCAGAGGAGGGTGACTGAAATGATCAAGGGTCTGGAGAACAAGCCCTATGAGGAGCAGCTTAAAAAGCTAGGCATGTTTCACCTGAAGAAGAGAGACGTGATGAGGGCCATGTATAAATATGTAAGGGGGAGTCAGAAGGAGGAGGGAGCAAGTTTGTTTTCTGCTGCCCTGGAGACTAGGATGCAGAACAATGGCTTAAAACTACAGGAAAGGAGATTCCATCTCAACATTAGGAAGAACTTCCTGACTGTGAGAGCTGTTCAGCAGTGGAACCCCCCCCCCCCCAAATCTCCTAGTGTGCCATTACACTGTCCCAGGAGGACTCACGGAAAAGCTTAATATTTATTTATTTATATTATTATTTAATGTTTATTTATTTTTTTACATTTTAAGGCTAGTTTGGGGTGGGGGTGGGGGGGGGGCTGGATGGATTGGGCCCAAGGATCACGTGATACAGACACAGGCCCAATGCACATTTGGCCCATACCTTGTTTGGCCCAGATCTTACCAAAGATCCAGATCTTATCAGATATCTAACTAATTCACTTCTACCTGAACTGATGTTTGGATACCTCAGGTAAAAGCCCAATAGATCCTGCATTTTGGAGCCTGTCTGGAAGGACCCTCAGTGAAAATTGGGGGAAAGAACAGTCACCATATAACAGAAGAAAATATCAAGACCTAGAGTCACTACTGATCAAAGGAAAATTGAGGAAAAAGGAGAAAAGGTACCCAGATTATTTACATAACATTAAAATGAAAGATGAAGTCATCAAAATAGTTAAAGATTTTCTTTACCTTGGCTCAGGCATTACTTAAAATAGACATTGGTATAAAAAAAAGAAAAGGAAGATTTGAAGAGCAACTATAAGGAAACTACCAATAGATAAGTAAAGACGTAGAAACTACCAAAGTCTGATACTTTTTTCCTTTTCTACATATAGTTGTGAAAGCTGTGTGGTAAATAAAAATTCCTGTGTTCTCTATTTAGGCTTCTTTTGGTTATTGAAATACCTGTGCATGAGATATATAAGAGAGGGACCCCAAGTCTAAACAGGAAGACCACTTTCCTTTCACATACACCTTAAACGCATAGCCTGAAGGCAATTCAGTAAACAATATTTCAATCCTTGTGTGCATGAAACAAATTTTGTATATCATGAACCATCAAAAAGCAAAAGTACAACTCACTCACTAACCAATGAGATAATTTTGCATTTTGCAGTATTTTGGTTTTCAGAATCATAGAACTGGAATAGATCATAAATAAATATACACACATACACATACAGTAAAGGTAAAGGATTTCCCCTAACATTAAGTCCAGTTGTGTCTGATGCTGTGGGTGGTTTCCAACAGATCTCACAACCTCTGAGGATGGCTGCCATAGATGTGAGTGAAACGTCAGGAGAGAATACTTCTGGAACATAGTCGTACAGCCTGGAAAACCTACAGCAACCCAGTAATAACATAAAGGTAAAGGTAAAGGTTGTCCCTTGACATTAAGAGAGGGTGGTGCTCATCTCCATTTCTAAGCTGAAGAGCATGGAGTGCCGTTACCTTCCTGTTGATCTATTCACATTCACATGTTTTCGAACTGCTAGGTTGGCAGAAGCTGGGGCTAACAGCGGTAGCTCACCTCGCTCCCCAAATTTGAACAGGCAACCATTCAGTTAGCAAGTTCAGCAGCTCAGCGATTTAACCCACTGCGCCACTGGGGGCTCCTACATACACATATACATATATAGAAACATGGAGTTTGTTTCCAAACGATAGGATTAGAACAAATTTCACAAGAATAAAAAATATGCAGAGAATATACATTCTTTTGCTGTAAAATGTAATTTTTCAAGCCTAGTACTGAAGTGATCTGATATATTTTAGTACTTTTAATCTGTACATACTATTCTACTCCTAGTCAACAATATGCTGCCCTCTATAACTCAGTTTTTCAGGTTTTATGGATTCGGTATTAAGAAAAATGCTTTCTGTCCCAGGAACACAGAAGGTCCTATATGTAGTCATAGAGGAAGGTCCTAGAAGGAACTCTCTGCCCCGAAGTGTGGTGGAGGCTCCTTCTTTGGTGGCTTTTAAACAGAGGCTGGATGGCCAACTGTCGGGGGTGCTTCAAGTGCAATTTTCCTGCTTCTGGGCAGGGGGTTAGATTGGGTGGCCCATGAGGTCTCTTCCACCTCTGTGATTCTATGATTCTATGATGTATTTTGAGGAATAACCAGGGAATTATGCTATTTGTCAATGACATTAACATCCATAAAATGACATGTGTTCATTTCACCCTGAGCTTTATTTTTTGAATTCCTTTATATATGTAAACCCATCCTACAACCACCCAGCCCATTAATACCTGGGGGGTTTTGTAGATGTCCAAGATGCTTGAGATGTGGCTGGAAATTTCAGTGTTGGCCCCTTCAAGAACCACCAAGAGGTTCCTCTGCTTCCCACAGCTATAATTTGGAACGCTCTGTTGTCCAGACGATAGCAGGTCTATCACGGCATCATAAGTTATTCGTTCATTGAAATAGTTCTCATAGACATTGTAGCCCAGTGTGATGTTGGGTAAGAGCAATGGATCTTGGTTGATGTCACGAATGGCAAACAAGAATGGCAGGATCTGCCAGTACTCCATATTCTCTGCTCTGCAATAAAATGGAAGCCATAAGATTTTCATCCTCTGTTTGGTAAAAATATATGAAGAGGAGGAGAAGGAGAAGGAGAAGTGGGGGCAGGGGGAGAGATGAAGAAGGCATATCAATGAGCAGCATGTATTGCCAGAAAAGTGGAAGGTTTGCAGCTGCCCAAAGATGCCTGGTCTTGATGACACCATAGCAATTTTTAGCAATGGAAGAGCATTACATGTTCTGATTTCTTACCTGAGAGAACGTATCTGAGGAGGTCTGAAAAAAACATAAGGATAAAGCATAAGATTTGCTGTCTCTGTGATCCCACCAATTGTGTAATCTCCAGGCTTATAATAATTAAATGGGTTAATTCGATCTGCGATCCATTTCATTTGGCATTTTGCCTTCACCGTCCCATAGACATCTCTGTGGAGCAGCATAAGCAGTATCAGCCACCACCATATCATGATGGAGATGCCTACTAGTATGGATCCCTCCAATTTTCTTTCTCCTTCACACTTTTTCATATGTGGACACAACAAATACTTTGTTCAAGCCTCAGAGCAGAATAATTAGATGCCAAACCCTCTCACAAAAGCAAGTTTTCAGGGTGCAGTTTTGCTAATATAGTCTAACCATGTGAAGGGAGAGATCCTTATTGAGCTCCACATTGGCATAGTCTCTGCCTTTCCTTATTTTCAGCCCAAGTTCTCAATGGAAGAGAAGATATATATAATTTGTTTGCTCTGGCTTGTCATATTCCACAGCTGCAGCATTACTAAGCATTGTTATTGTTTTGAGGGTTCTCCTGTTAGTTTCAAAGACAATCTTTGGACAAATACCCCATGAGAAGTAGAATAAATCACCATCATTTTGATAATCCCCAAACAGCAAAAATAAAATAACTCCTGTGGCATAATAAGCAGATTGGTCATAAGTGATTCCAAGTGGAGATGCGTTGCTGGGGGAAAAGTCTGTTCAACTCATCAGTGTCATTCTTTAGAAAAGTTTTGTTTGTCTTTGGTCAAGAAAATAAACTGTGACATATACAATGCCATGACATGCCTCAATACTTCCAGTACAGCTATTGTAATACAGTTAGCTCCACAATTGTGGTTTTGAGTTTTTAAGATCTGATTATTCATGGACTTGAAGTTTGCCCTTTAAAAATAACTTCATTGTTAGATAGAGATGGAAGTCCAATGGTGTAAGATCAGGTGAATAAGGAGAATGTGGTAGAATTTCAAAGCCACGGGAGCATGCTTTCATTTGGGCAACATGTGAGTCATGAACTAGTGCATTGTCTTGCAGAAGGTGGACACTTTTGGTGAGCATGCCACATCTCCTGGTTTTGGTGGCGTCCTGCAATTTCTGCAGCAGTGAAGCATAATATGCCTTAGTGATCATGGTACCTTTTGCTAGGAAATCCATCAGTACAACTCCGTGCTGGTCCCAAAATACTGTGAGCATGACCTTGCCTGCCGAGAATTGAGCACGTGCCTTTTTTGAAGGTGGTGAGCCAAGATGCTTCCATTGCATTAACTGGACTTTAGTCTCAGGATCATAGTGATGGACCCAGCTTTAATCCTGTGTGATCAATGTTGAAAAAATTCTCCTGGTTTCCATGGCACATCATCAATAGAGCCTGAGAGCATTCAACTCATTCCTGCTTCTGGAAAGGTGTGAGCAGTTGGAAGACCCAGTGAGCAGATACCTTATGCATGTGAAGATGGTCTTGGATTATTTTCCCACAGACCCTACACTAATCTTGACATTTTGGGTTAGGTGGCAAATGGTTACGCGGAGATTTTCCAAAATGGTGATCTCCACTTCCTGGATGGTGTGTTCATCTATAGCAGAGTGGGATTGCACTGGAATTGGAGCTGTTTCCACCAAAGTCCAACCACATTTGAATTGATGATGCCAGTTCTTGACTACATCATATGGTCATCACCATTAACCTCTTTCTTCTCATCGAATGTCTCTTTTGGTGTGTGCAGCCTTTCAAGTAGAACATTAATTCGACTGGGTCCTTCCAGCCCTAACTTCTTATCTGACTCTTCTCTTCTTTATCAGCTCTGTCCTTGCAGTTGTATTGCACAAGCTCTTGCCTCGCCCCTTAGTTCTGAAATGTATGCTATGCTCGGTTTCTGGTTGTTGTATGATGAATTATGTTTTTATAATGTTTTTATAAATATGTGAGAGGGAGTCATAGGGAGGAGGGGGCAAGCTTGTTTTCTGCTGCCCTGGAGACTAGGACGGGAACAATGGCTTCAAATTACAAGAAAGGAGATTCCATCTGAAAATTAGGAAGAACTTTTTGACTGTGAGAGCTGTCCAGCAGTGGAACTCTTTGCCCCAGAGTGTGGTGGAGGCTCCTTCTTTGGAGGCTTTTAAACACAGGCTGGATGGCCATCTGTTGGGGGTGCTTTGAATGTGATTTTCCTGCTTCTTGGCAGGGGTTGGACTGGACGGCCCACGAAGTCTCTTCCAACTCTATGATTCTATGATTATGATGTTGTGTATGTATTTTATTGTGTATATTTTAACTCTGTTTGACTGGGTTTGGTCCCCATGTAAGCCACCCTGAGTCCCTTTGGAGAGATGGTGGCAGGATACAAAAATAAAATTATTATTATTATTATTATTATTATTATTATTACAGTTATTATAAGTAAAGGAAGTTAATGACTGCTCTGTATTCCACTCGGTCCTTTATCAACCTCACACCACTTCAGCACCTGTAAAATCAAGACCATTATCAGTTTTGAGTGGTAAGTGTGCACGCAACCTATAGAGACTTATATCATTACACATGTGAAGATTCAACATCCTGTGATAAATAAAAATGGGTCGGGAGAAATCTTTAATGAACGCCCCTTGTATGAAATACTTTTGTAGCCATGGAGTCACCTCGAAGACCCTGGTGACCTTTCATGGCCTGGATTCCTCTTGTGTCTTCCTAGTCTTCACTTAACAAAGGACTCAAGCACCCATCATCTTCAGCCATCATGAACCAGATAAACAAAAGGATAACTGTACTTTGAATTGGGCCAACCTTCTTTTGTATGGCTGCCTGGTCAAAAAGCACTCATTACCACATGACAGCTACCCTGAAGTTGGGAGGTTCTGCCACTGTTTTCCCTCAATGCTATTTCCCCTTTCCCAGAGAAACCAGTCCATCCTCCAGGAAATAATACCCAGCTGCTCACTGAAGGGAAGGATATTTGAGGCAAAGATGAAGAACTTTGGCCACATCATGAGAAGACAAGAAAGCTTGGAGAAGATAATGATGCTGGGGAAAATGGAAGGTGAAAAGGAAATCTAAAAAAGCAACCGTAGCCAATATTAACGTGGCAGGAGGGACCTTTATTTTATTATGCCACTGCTGCCACCAATTGTAAAAGAAAGGTCGAATGAACAAACAACAAATATATAAAATTGGGGAGATGAGGAGACTAAGATAGAAGTGGTGCGTGTTGCCGAGGCTTTGTGTGTGTGTGTGTGTGTGTATATATATATATATATATATATATATATATATATATATATATATATATGAGAGAGATGAGTGAAGCTTGTATGAGAGAGAGATGACTTTTAAAACACCTGTCTGTGCCTCTTTAATATGTGTAACCAAATGTCATGAAACTGTATTCAGCTCCACAGGATCTTCAGCCTTCTCTTTTATGGAGAATCTTCTCTTTAATAATTAGACACAAGTTCTCAGTATTTGAACTGAACAGTAAAATGTTTATTTAAAGATTACTCAGGTTCATACAAGCAGGATGGTTACACATTATCTTCTTGTTGGTGCTACAGTTACCCAGGGCCGGCCCGTCCATTACTCGAAGTAAGCGGTCGCGGAATACTTTTTTTGCCAGGGGGCGCTGTTTTGTCCTTAGGCCACGCCTCCTCCTGCAGGCCCCATGCGCCCTCAACAGCCTTCTAATGGAGAAGCGCAGGCCCCGCCCACTACGCGAGAGGGAAGTCCTCCCTCCACGTGCTGCCAGGAGGCAGCCAGCCAGGCTCTTTCGCTTTCGCTTTCCCTTCCCTGCAGCTGAGCCTGGACCCCTCTCAGGGCAGCAAGGAGGCCTCCTCAAAAGGTACTGCAAATGTCATCTTTTGTACATGCCTCCCCCAAACCTCTCTAGTATTTGGTAATGGAAGTCCTGTATGCCAAGTTTGGTTCAATTCTATTGTTGGTGGAGCTCAGAATGTTCTTTGGTGCTTGGTAAACTGCAATTCCCAAATGTCAGGGTCTATTTTTCCCAACCCCCTCTCCAGTAGTTTCTGTTAGTCATGGAAGTCCTGTATGCCAAGTTTGGTTCAATTCTATTGTTGGTGGAGCTCAGAATGTTCTTTGGTGCTTGGTAAACTGCAATTCCCAAATGTCAGGGTCTATTTTTCCCAACCCCCTCTCCAGTATTTTCTGTTAGTCATGGAAGTCCTGTATGCCAAGTTTGGTTCAATTCTATTGTTGGTGGAGCTCAGAATGTTCTTTGGTGCTTGGTAAACTGCAATTCCCAAATGTCAGGGTCTATTTTTCCCACCGCCTCTCCAGTATTTTCTGTTAGTCATGGAAGTCCTGTATGCCAAGTTTGGTTCAATTCTATTGTTGGTGGAGCTCAGAATGTTCTTTGGTGCTTGGTAAACTGCAATTCCCAAATGTCAGGGTCTATTTTTCCCAACCCCCTCTCCAGTATTTTCTGTTAGTCATGGAAGTCCTGTATGCCAAGTTTGGTTCAATTCTATTGTTGGTGGAGTTCAGAATGTCCTTTGGTGCTTGGTGAAGCATTCTCACCTGATGTTTCACCCACATCTATGGCAGGCATCCTCAAGAGGCTGTGAGGTCTGTTTGTAACTAGGCAAGTGGGGTTTGTATATCTGTGGAATGTCCAGGGTGGGAAAAAGAACTCATGTCTGCTTGAGGTAAGTGTGAATGTTGCAATTGGTCATCTTGATGAGTATTTAATGGCCTTGCAGCTTCTAAGCCGAGCTAGTTGCT